TCCGACAAAGTACCCCTTCCTTGTTCATGAAGAACTTGGAGAGGCGAATTTGGGCCACACCCTCCCCCTTCTTAAGATGGGAAGCGATCTCCTTACAGAACGGGTCGGAGTGTTGAGCGAGTACAATCTCGTCGTGTGTAATTGCGGCCTTGGAAGCCCGGGGGGGCGAGGGCGAAGCATCCGTCGTGAATGTCGTCGTCCCACTCCTCGGATTCCACTTCCGCCTTGTCTTCGTGAAACTCCAAAACGGAGAAGCACGGTATTTCTTCGTCGATGGGGACGTTTGTGCCCCCTGTAGACGGTATTCGACTGAGGGCGTCGGCGAGACAATTCTGGATGCCCTTCACGTACGTGACGTCGAAGTCAAACTCGGCTAAGCGCAAGCGCCACCGTGCTAAACGCCCGCTTGCGTCGGCGAGATTCATTAACCAGCGAAGGGAATGATGGTCAGTGTTGACCGTAAATCGCTCGCGTTCCAAGTAAAGACGCAGCGTCTGAATGGCCCACACAATGGCCAAACATTCTTTCTCCGTCGTGGAGTAATTCCTTTCCGCCGACGAGAGCGTTCGCGACCAGAACCCGACAGGGTATCTGTTACCATCCTCGTGTTGCTGTAATAACGTGCAACCAAGTTGGGCGTCGGATGCATCCGTGTCGAGGGAATACGGTAGCCCCAGCCGCGGTAGTCGCAAGATCGGCGGGGAAATCAGGCAAGTCTTCAGAGCTTCGAAGGCAGACCTGCGATCTTCGCCCAGTTCGGGGAGCCGATCGGGCTCTCCCTTCTTGAGCATGGACGTCAACGGCGCCGCAATCTTGGCGAAGTGGTCGACGAAACGTCGGTACACGTTACACATACCCAGAAACGAGCGGAGCTCGGTCTGGGTTCGTGGCGGCTTGGCCTCGGCTAAATCCGAGACATTCTTCGGGTGGACATGAAGTTCCCCGGGTCGAATGATGTGGCCCAGGTACTCCACGGAGTCCTGAAAGAATTTACACTTGTTCAATTTCAGTGATAACCCCTCTTGTTGTAACGCAGAGAGAATAACCTTCACATCCTTGAGATGAGTTTCATAATCCTTCGAGAATATGATAATGTCATCTAGATAGATGAGGCAGCTCTTCCATCCGTATCCAGAGAGGAGAATGTCCAACATCCGTTGGAATGTGGCGGGCGCATTCATTAGCCCGAACGGCATTCGGTTAAATTGATAAGTACCGGCATGACACGTGAACGTGGTTTTCGGACGGTCTTCTTCCGCAACGGGGATTTGCCAATAACCCGAGTTACAATCTAGAGTTGTGAACACGTTCGCTTCGCCGAGCGAGTCCAGGCACTCGTCCATGCGAGGAATCGGGTAAGTGTCCCGTACTGTCATTGCGTTCAAACGTCTGTAATCGACGCAGAAACGGAGGGATCCATCCGGTTTGGGAATGAGAACCACCGGGGATGCCCACTCTGATTGTGATCGGGAGATTACCCCGCTTGAGATCATCCCATCCACGGCGTCTTGTTCGGCTTGTCGAGACCGAGGTCCAGCCCGATATGGCAGACATCGAAACGGCTTCGAGCCGGGGTTGAGTTCGATCCGGTGCTGCGTAGCCCGGACTTCCCCGAGATCGCCACTCCACATACGGGAGTACGGCGTAAGCATGTCACGTACTCGCGTGCGGACATGCGACGGCAGATTTTGGAGGGAGACAGCATCAAATTCTTGGGGTTCTTCCTTCGACGAAGCCGGGGGGAGCTTCTCCCCCTTCTCAGATTGGGGCTTGTCCCCTTCTGTAAATTCCGCCGCTAGGAGGGCGTCGAGAGGCATCGCGGTGCGTATCATGGCACGCGGATGAGGGGTAACGTACCCCAGCACCTGGTTCTTCGAGAGGCGCTTGGGGGCTGAGGCGAAGTTGCCTACCAAGACCTTGAACTCTCGAAGTGCGGTGATGTGCGCGACCCCATTCGACAGGGAGACGCGGTGTTTCGCATATAGCTGCGGGTTGGGTTCCAATACGGAAAGACCCGTACGACCGTTGGTAACATGCACCCAGGCTCGCGTCCCGGGTGGTATAGTAACCGGACGAGAAACCTTGAGTTTGGGGGAAACGCGACCCGGGTCGTTTTCATACTCCTGCTCTGAGGGGAGCGGAGGTGCTTCGGCTCGACGAGTTGCCGGTTTTCTGACGATGGGGACTTTCGTTCCATCATCGAGCTCGACCACCTTCCGACGTGGAAAGATGGCCTCGACAAACTTGTCGTTAAAGTCACAGCCCAAGATGACGAGGGCTGCCAGGCGCTCGCACACGATGAACTTGCATTTCATGGTGCGAGTTGCTAGTCGAACAACGAGGGTGATAGACCCGTTTGTTCGTAGCGGTCGCCCGTTCGCGTCGGCGGTCGTCGGGACTTCCCCCGGTTCGATTAAGCTCTCCCATCCTTTGGGCAGGGTGTCGGTGCGGACAAAATTGGAGCCGGCACCCGTGTCCAGGATGGTGAGTTGACGCACTATGATGGAGGTGGTGATCCCAAGGTCGGCGTAGACCTTGTAATTACGTCGAGACAGCGTACAAACTGGCTCGACGGCCTTGTCATCGGGGGAGCGCCTCCCGTTGTTAAGACGCCACGGTCGGCGGAGCGTCCCCATGCCCGTCGGATCGGGGTTGGAGGGGCTCGCTTGGCGAGCGTGTCTCCGTCCGGACGGACCGCGTCTACGCGTCTTGGGCCCAAGACGCGGATCGCCGGCCTCGTGGGCGGGGGTGACGCGGTGTCCCGCGATGGAATGTCAGCGATTTTCAGCTGTGGGTCTCCTAGTTTTTCGGAGGTGCGGTCTTACCGCGAGGGGGACTTGACTTCTCCGAAGCGGAGGGGGACTTCGACGGCAAGACGGGTGCGATCAGCCGATTCGCCTCGAAACTGAGGAGGGCTACAGCGCGCAAGTACGCGTCCGGTGGAACACGGGCCTTCTGTGCCGCCGTGAGCTTCTCAAAATTATGAGGGACGAGCGACACATCGGGCACCTTCATGCTACAGTCGGGGTTAATATGATCCCCGATTTTGTAGCACGTGTAGCAGATGATTTTCGGGGAAGGTATCTTCATGTCCCAGTCTTTGCCATTGGCGATTAGGAAGAGCGCGTATCGCGAGACAGGGTGGAGTTAGCCCCAAGCCCGATGGACTATGCGCCGATAACTGGCCTACGGCAGGCGCTACAGTTCCTGGGAGAGCCGGAGTTAAACGAAGAAGGAGAAGTAATGGAGGACGAGGGATGTCCTCACACCCGTGCGCCTGCGTCAGGGGACCAGGAAAATCTAGTTAGTCAAGCGCCGACAGCGGAGACATCTCCGGACCTACGCGATTTCGGAAAGTTCAGAGAAGAGGATGAGTTGGAAGATCTTCAGGAGGGGGAAGGAAACAGTTCAGAGAAAGGAGAGGAAACGAAAAACACGGAATACGTGATCGACAAGACCGTGGACCACGGCTACGACGAGGAGAAATTAATTCTCAAGGTAAGGTGGTACGGTTATACGTCCGAGGACGCGACGTGGGAACCCATTGAGCGGTTACCCCGCAGTGCGGCCGTCACGTATTTCAGAAGGAAACGGTTGCCCCTGCCAGTGCAAGTCGCGCACGCGGCACCTGGATAGCTGTTGTCAAGAAAGAATGCAGAGGAGAGCCGGCAGAGAAGTCCGAAGTTTGAGGAAGCGATGCATGCCGCGTCGCTGAGGAATGGGGAATGTCACCAAACCCGCGGATGAGGTGTTCCGCTCGCCTGAATGGCAACGCGTCACCGAAGCCCGCACGTGAACTTAAGATCGAGAGCAGGAGTCCGCACGGAGGAGGAGCGAAAATTATCCCAGAATTACTAGAGAAATGCCGGGAGGGGATTGTCGAATGAACAGTATGAGAAATGAGGACCAGTCCTCCCCCGAAATCCTAATCAAAATTGAGGATGGCCACCCGAAATCGCCGGTTTCCCGCTCAGTTACTGTTGCTAGCCAGGGCTGACCGCACAAATATCGAAGTCAGATCGCGACCCACGACTACAAATTGCATATGAATCTGAAAACGTCCGTCGCCGGCGGCCCCGTCCAACTCGCTTCACGGAGAGTTGACAAGGATGAGCGAGGCGCAACGCGCGCTTGCCGCGCAGGAGATGCCTTTTTTTAGGAACGGGAGCAGTGTGGATTCAAGACTGACCCCCGATCCCCACGCAACCCGCGTTATTTGGAAAGCCACCAAGCGAAGCAGAGAGGGCAACGAGTAGGGTTGGGAACGGGAGATAGCCGAAGGAGTCGACGTCCCAACGAGACAACACGGTTCACCCGACAGTTGCGAACGACAGAGCCACGACGCGTTTACTGACGATCAGCGTACATACTAGTTTACAACGTCAACCCCCCCTCTCTTCTCACCACCTCTCTCCATTGTTTCGGTTTTAGTTGGTTGTTCGTTTTTTGTGCGCGTTTGTTTGTTATGTTATGTTTATTTTTTTTGCCGTTGTTTAGGACACGACTTCGCCTGCCGCAAGTCGATCAGTGAGTCTGCAACGACCAGACAAAGGCTAGTGCCATGAGAAAGGGAAGAAGGAACCGATGCGGGGGCCTTGTCAAGACAAGTAAGCTACGACGAGGAAGGAGATGCGAGGTATCGCAGGTCGATTCGACCAAGAGAAGACTGTATCCGACGGGAAAGGCACGGTGTGCCCGAGACGGGAAAACTGAAGTGAGAGTCTGGGGGGGGAGGAGCCCCACCCCCCTCCACAACAGGGGATATTGTTGATTGACGGGAAGGGATGATCAAAAAGGGACGCACCAGTCGCCTTGACGGAGCTCCGCAAGCCCCGATACAGCGGCTTGTTGAGCAGAAATAATTACTAACCGAGGCAAACCCGCGACAAGAACAAGCATAGTCCCACCACGACGTTAGCAACGACGCGTTGATTGCGACTAACACTGAGGTCCCTGTAGTACTTCTGGCATACGCGCGACGCACCCACCGATCCGTAGCTATGCCCTACTATGTTTTCTGTTGTATTATTATTTTTTGTTTGCGTTCTCTTTTGTTCGTTCACCTCGGAGGTCTAGAGGTACGACCGCGTCCTGTGAACGTCGATCAGCGGGTATATCGGGCATTAGAAGGAGGATACGGCCGCGTTACAAGGAAGAACGTCCTCCACGGTACATGGCAAGCTGGGCTTGTCTGGGGAGCGAGAGACGTTATAGGGAGTCGAAAACAGCCATCACGATGGCCTCGGGAAACGCTGCAGTAGCGTAGAAAGGGCGAGACGACGCAGACAAAGAGGGAGGAGTGACGGGTCGAGCGCATGAAGCGCTGGGTACGTAGAAAACGTACAAACGGCACACGCAAGTCTGTACCCGCCGCCACGCGAAGAGGCAAACAAGGAAAAGGGGGACACGACCGTCCCGTACGAGATGTCGAAGAAGGAGAGCGACGTTAACCGTCGACAAGACCCCCAAGCCAGAGCAGGAAAAAAAGGGGGCTTAGGCGATTTCATCTGAGAACCTCCCTCGCCAGAATGCAAGAGCCGCCGCAGTCGTACCAGGAAAACGAAAATTTACTGTAGTCTCAGGCTGAGGTCGGATACCTCCTGAGACACGATCACGCGCACGAGACAGGGCGCTTGGATCAGAGATCCGTCCTCGTGATGCGAAAATTAATCAAGAAAATACTTGGAGGTCGTCAGAAAAACGCTGGACGAGCGGTAACAGCCGAAAATGGACCAAGGGGGTAACCTTCGAAAATTTATTGACAAAGCTAGGGGAAACCGTACTTGTTGGTCGCAAGAAAACAGAGGAGCGCTGGCCACAGCCCCATGACACAAGTACACCAGGTCACCCGATCACACCGTCGTGAGCCATCGTGCAAGACACAATGCCGCCGTCGGCATGGCCATGTACAATGAGTTCCGTACGTACGCCAAGGACAACCGAACCCCTGCCTAACACCCCGGATTCCTGTTCTCGCGATTCGTCTCATCGTTCGAGGCAGCTGAGAGAAAAAAAAGAAAAACGGAGAAGAGAAAACAGAGAAATGGTAATCCTCACGTCAAGGAGGACCGATTTGCGACGTCTCATTGAGGGGGCAATCGGGAGTCTCGCGCCATCTTCCAACAAGAACGATCCGGAGCGCCAAGGAGAGGAGAGCAACTCCGGAGTAGAGAGATCGTCGATCGAGGAGCTCCTTATCAATGACCGAGCCGTGGCTCGACGCGACTGACGACGTCACGCTCACCTTCTCGTTGTTACCCCAAGCGAACTACCGAAATGACATCTTTCCTTTATTCCCTCTACTGTCTGGCACATTGACCCTCTTGCTGCTTTGCTATGTTTTTTATTTTGCCCCAAGTTCCGGTGCATTTTTATTTTTATCTCACTCCTTGTTGTGAGCCTAACACAACCCTACGCTGCGACATCGACATTAAGGACGACCGACAGGATGTCGATCATGACGATACACCCCCCCCGTTGGGAGGGAGATAAGTCGGGAGATCAAGACCGCTACGCACGACGGGCGGAGTTGAACAAATAATTGGAGACACGCGGAAGAAGGGATGGACGTCCATCGCACGAAAGGAAGAGAAGTGCGCATTCGCCGAGTGTGTGACATCGCTATTGGAAGATGTACAGTAAGAGGCGGTCGAGGACTAAGGAAATCCGGAACGCATTCGTAAGCAGCGTGTGTTATCACGTCATGGAGGACGCCAGGCGTAGAAATGAGGATCGGAAAACGGGACGAATACCGTTAACTGAATGAACGCCGAGCCAACAACCCTACACCGCAGCGGTAATGCAGTGCCGCGGATATGGGACAACGCACGATGATGCAGAAAACATATCACGAAAGATCTTTTCGATCACAGAGGGTTGGTCGCGACGTTCGAAAGAAGCCGAGCTGTGTGCGACGAAAGCTCAGTGAAGGGACAGCTAGCATCAGTCCCGAACCTTCCTTCGAAAAACTGAAGAACTCTGATGACATCACTCCGATGAGAACAGATCGTCACACACCCACACGACCACAGATGTTCCGAATCTACGAGGCGACATGAGGATTCGCACCCAAAGTACAAAGGAGATGAGACACAGGATCGAGGCTATCGCAGGAGATACTGAACAAGGCGGGTTCATTGGACAGAGGGAACTCCTAATCACGAATTTATATATTCCTCGACGAGATAACTGGGCGAGTAAGGAAACCGCCTGACGGGAATGAAAGAGGGGAGCCTTATTAGAGGCAACAGGAGCCACAGACTCCAGCCACAAAGATAAACGCGTACTCTCAAGGGCGTGTACCTTGCGGAGACGCAGGAAAAATATAAAGAGGAGGGACTGCGAGTTGAGCTTTTTTTCGGGTCGGCACGTCAACCAGCACATCTCATTTCACAACTTCTCAGGTATTTCCTACCCGCTCGATGGAGATTGAGGACAGCCGTCGGCGACAGTACGACCGAACGGGGAAGAGAGGAGGTAAGCGAAGAATCTGAAGAGGTAAAAAGAGAGCATGAAAAGAGGAGGGAAAATTGTCAAGGATAAAGAGGAGGGATTGAAGAGAAGGAAATATAGGAGAATCAGGAAATGGAAAATTGAAAACGCAAAAGAGGAGGAAGTTGGTGAAAAGAGGGGTACGACGGCAGTGACGGTACGCAGGGAACAAGAAAAGAAAAAGAGAAAAAGAGGAGGAAGTAGCGAGGTGAAGAGAAGGAGGAAGGAGGTATAAGGGTGCCACCTTGATTATGACGAGGTGGGCATCAATGAGAAAAAGAGGAGGAAACGAAGGGACGAAGGAGCACGCAGGAAAATTCAATTTACGGATCAAAGGCGACATGACGAGGTCGCAAATTCAGCGTCACGCAGGCAGGATAGAGATGCGACAAGCTAGCACGAGGGAAGTGTCGCGCCCGTCAGCTCAGACGGGAAGGTTGCCAAAGGATTTGCCCTTTGGAAGTGATGACACGAGGCGAGCTAAAACTCGCAGGTCGTCAATCGAGGCTCCTTGCAGAGCCTCTCTCTCAACACTGTGAGCACGGAGCAAGGCACAGCATACACTCGTGACGTCGTGGGTATTTTTGGAAATTGTTGGAAACGGGGGGGAAGATATCACTTCCCTCACCGACAGTGTTTCGGTGTGGCCTGCCGAAGGAATTTCGACAGCTGAGGGCGCCTTTGACGACGATGTAGAGGCAAGGGCTGCCCGCTGGGAAGCAGGGACAGCCGATTGAGGAGGAATTGGAGAGGAAGGACGGGAGCATACGTGAAGCTTCCGGGGGTCAGATGTGACGATGGGGGTAACGTCGGGAACCGGTGTTTGGTTTCCGAATCGAAGGCTCGTTTGAGCTTCCCACGCTGAGCAGAGGGTCGATGACCAGGGGTTGAACCACATGAAGTCGCCCGCGGCTGGGTGGTTTCGACTAAGGGAGAAAGAGGGACGTTGGCGATTGAAGGATCGAGAGAAGTTTCGCGGAGGGACACAGTCCCAATCCACGCCCTCGATCGTATCAAGGAGGGAGCGTATTTCGCGATTGAAATCAGAGCCACAGAGAAGTCCAATAGACGCATTTGTGCTATCAGCTTCGCGGGGAGGTGCCACAGGCGCCAGCAATCGTAGATCTCCCACAAGAGAGTCGCAGCTACTTTGATGCACCACTCTGTGAGGAAGACCACCCATAACCCGTGTTGCGAATCCCGCAGATAGCTGCCATAGTACGTGAGTATGGGTCCCATTTCAGCCCAAAAGCCTTGACTCACCTCGTACTGGCTCCACCATAAGGGGATGCGCTGGTAACGACTTGCATAATGCTGACGGGAAATCTCCCGCGCCTCTACCATTTGGTAGCCGATGAAGTACCCCGTATCAGACCGAATACGCCGTTCAAAACGCACTGTGTTCTGAAAGAGGAAAATACCCCCGCGTTTTAAATGACGGAAATTCGAAGGGATAATGGGTTCGGTCCAGAAGATGGCATCGAATGTGACAGTATGGCGGTTTCGCCACAGGCGATCCGCCTCGGCGGCAGGGTCACCAAAGGTGATATCAATGAGATTGTCCAAATAGAGGCGTTCGCCCTCTGTACGACAACGCCAAGTGCCGCAACCGTATGAGGAGGGTATGAGGGTGTCGGAAATGGGGATGGCAAGCCGAGCGAATACGGCCTCCATAAATCGCAGGGAGAGAGTGGGACGGCCCCGTGGGGGAGGATGACGTAGAATGGAAGTCGGAACTGCTATACGGGTTCGCCAGTCAAAGGAGCGGATGGCAAGCACCTGGAGATTACCGGGAAGCATGCCCGCGTCGACGGCGAATTGGTGTTCGATTTTAGAAACGTCGCGAATACCCACGGAGGAGAACCACTGGGACGAGGCAAATAAGGAAGGATGTTCGTGCATGATTTTGTGCAGTAGCTCTTCGAGCGAGGGGTAGTGGCGGGCTACCCAAGAGGGATGACAACCTGGATGGAAGGCCGGGTCGGAGACGTCCGAATCAGGGGGACGTCGGGGTATAGGAGGGAGGTCGACGGAAGCGCGAGACTTGTTCGCGAAGCCGACACCGGTGCGTCGCCGGGCAGTATTTTCGCCTGCGAGCTCAGGAGGTGGATGACACGTGGGATTCGTCTTGTCCTTGCTCATGCGGAGACCGTCGGTGAGGAATGGAAAAGTAGGGGGTCGAGAAGAGAAGAAGGAGTTGGAGATCAAGGAGTGTAGCCGATGTGCAAGGACGCTCAGAAGGGGGATATGTAGTGCAATACGCACCTGGAAAGGGGGGTGAAAAGAAAGGAAAATATTTGGATATGAAAAGTAGTCCGGGTTGGGGGACACACGTGTGAATAATTGCACAGTTTTAATTTTTAATTATTTTATTTAGTTAATTAGTTTGCATTAATTGTGCTGACACTAGATTAGATCTAGGATCTAGCGCCGCGAGCTACTGTACTGGCTCTGGCCGGGCGATATATACCTTAGCCCTCTGACGACCAAGTCAGTAAAGGTAACCCGAGTTGCCAGAGTTGAATATCGCCTTGGTCGAAGTCCGTCTTTCCCAAGACGCTCCCTTTTACCACAGATTACTTTCTCCTTTGCGCTCGGGGGTTCCCTTTTCTTTTTCCTTTATTTCCCTATTCTTTTCTACTTCTATCTCTATTTTTCCCTTAATTGCGTTGGCTCCACTGGAGCTGGTTGCGACCGATCCAGTGTAGGTGTTTTAGCCATCGGGCAGCACGTTGTGTAGCGCTGCTACTGTTTCAAGTTCCGTCGGAAGGCTGTTGCAACGACGCCTCCGTCGAAGGTCTTACTGTACAAGACAGAGTTGGTACCACCTACTGCGATTGCGATCGCGCTGGTTAGGGGGTTTTTAGCCATCGGGCAACACGTCGGTAGTAGCGTTGCTACACGGTTACGATCCCGTCGGGTAGTGCTGAACAAGCCCCCGTCGAAGACCTTGAATTATACACAAGGTGCTGAAGACGCTCGTCGAGCATTGGCCTTACAACCCAGCGAACCGCGGTTACATCGCTGTAGACAAGCCCAACCCGCACTCGTCGAACGCTCAAGTCTTTACAAGTCTCTACCATCATTATCCTCCCGGGCCGGGCATCTTTTCTTACCCCCCCCGTCGGAGTTGAGCTACCGTGGGCGGCAAGGCCACACAAGGGGAAAGGGAGTCTCGAACGCTCCGTAGCGCGTGCCATCGGCAGTGGTTGTTGCTGTTGTTGTTTTTCTTCTTTTTGTTTGACCGTCGGACTGTGTTCGCGGCCTGCCAGGCACATTGCACTACAGTATACCCTCCACGGGGGGTACTACCGTCCCGGTAGACGAGGAGATACCTTGTTACTCAGGTTTGGACCTCGAGGACGATACTCTGTTCACAGAGGGAAAATGATGACGACCCTGAGGTCGACGTGAAATCCGGCTTTAATGCCTTGGAACCCCTGGCATCAAAGGCCGCGCTGACGCACGACGATTTTTCGCGGGAGCAACTCTTCGATCCTTTGTGTAGGGAGGTGGCTTCCCGTCTTGTGAAGCAGGAGGGTTCCGCCCAACTTCGTTTGTCACGGTTCTTCATCAACACAGAAGGTTTAATCTGTCGGAAAGCCCACCTGGATGGTGGCGAACAAATTGTCGTCCCAAAAACCCTCCGGGACAGGGTGTTGTATTTATCGCATTATCCCACCACCTCAGGCCACCCTGGAGGTCGGCGTTTATTCTACACGCTCCGACAGCGGTATTACTGGCCAAGCATGTCGGGCGATGCCTATTCCACAGTCCGGATGTGTCCCGACTGCGCCAAGGCCCGCACCAAATTGCGTAAACACAACTCAGAGTTGAAGACGTTCCCTCCGTCAGGCCCCCTGGAGTGCATCGCAATTGATATCCTTGTAGAACTGCCCCGAACCCCAAGAGGACATCGTTACCTCTTGGTGATGACGGACCGTTACTCCAAGTTAACCCGAACCGTACCCTTACGGAAAATCACTGCCGAGACAGTAGCTCAGGCGTTCATTTCACACTGGGTCTTCGTTTACGGAGTCCCAGTGAAGCTCCTCTCCGACAAAGGGAGTCATTTCACTTCGAGGTTCTTCCTCGCAGTGTGCAAAATCCTCTCTATTGAGAGTGTGTTCACAACCGCATATCACCCCCAGACTAATGGGCAGGTGGAAAGATTCAACAGAACGTTGGTCTCAACTCTACGGCACTATCTGGCCGATAATCAACGTGACTGGGACCAGTACACGGATACCCTCAACCATGGCTACAACTGCACGGTCAACCGCATGATCGGCATGAGGCCATTTGAGCTGGTGTTATCCCGGACGCCGAGTCCGTTGTCCCTACAGCAAACTCCGCTGTTGGCACCCTCCGCCTCACGGGCGCATTTCAAGTTCCGCTTCCTCGCGTGGTTGCGCGGCCTCATGGCCACGGCTGACAAGAACCTACGCGCCGGACAGGAACGCTACAAGAACGACTTTGACAAGCGGATTCGACCCCCTACGCCGGAATATCAAGTAGGGGACCAAGTCCTCGTTAACCGAGAAGCGGCATTACGCTCAGAGGAACGAACCGACAAGGATCGGGTGAACAACAAACTCGCACCGCGCACTGAGGGACCGTTTCCCGTGGTAAAGGTGGATGACCATACTGTCACCGTCCTTCGAGGTACCGGGCTGAAGGACAGAATCCCTCGAGATAGAGTCGTCAAGTCCCCCCCGCTACGAAATGCGGTAGGGGGCGCTACGCCCTCGTTGGCGGATCAGGGCGATGATGGGGAAACCCCGTCGTTGGACACGACTCCCATCTGAGGGAGAGGCATTGAGGGACAGTTGGGTAATCTACCGCTCGACGACCTCGAGCTGGCGAAGGACGCCGCCACCCCGGCGCCTTCCCCCGCGCACGCTCCG